CTTCATTTTGACGGCGTATATGTACGGTAGTATGAACGCCGTTGGCAACGAACATATTCTTTATGGAGCGCTAACTCAATCCTTAAATATCCATGTAGACCGCAATGTCTGTGAAGAGTAGGACATACAATTGTAGAAATGTACGTTAAGGAACTGGAGAATTCCGCTGTGTTTTTTTGTATACACAATAAACTCCCCTTAATTTTGTTTTGTATGTGACTGTATGGCCGGATGCCGGCCGGCTCGTGACCGCAAGGTTCCGGGTTCGAATCCCGTCATGGCTATGTGTTGTATCCTTAAACAAGATCCTTAACTCCGCTTGTTTCAGTCTACTCAGCTGTAAATGAGCACATGGTTGGGCAGTGCTAGAATTGTCGAATGCTAGCTGTGAGCGCATAAATATAGCAGCACCGGCTGTATGCTCCCCAGGGAGTTGAGAACGATAGTGGCTGGCTGTAAAGGCCCTATAACCACGGAGTATAACTAGTGAACAGCTTTGAGACGACCTAGGTTGTGATGAAACTTAAATTAATTTATAATTATAAAACAATATTTAGGAAATGGCACGTGCAGCGTGAGTTCGGTTATGTCGATTACTAATGAGAAAGTATGTATATTTACACTTCAATGATGAATGTGACGTACACGCTTCTAACCTGTATTTGTTTCGATTGATAAATGACACACGTGCTAGTGATTAAACCGGAAGTCGTGTCTCCTTGTGTCTTACACCCTGTCCACAATTCGACCTCGGTTTCAGTGGTAATAACGAGATCACCGATCACGATATCATTTACGCCCAGAGTACGTACATTACGTTCATGCTGTTAAGTAACAATAGGACCACACTGTGCTGAAACATTAGTAATCAAGTTTATAAGTGAAGATACTTTATACCCGGAAATTTTCGTCCAGTCATACTTCCCCCCTTCGCTAGAGTGATCACTATTTGCCCAGTGTTGATATCGCCCTTCACATCTTATTGCTATGCATATTATGCTGTTCACTAATGTTCGCAGAAATGATAACTTAATTTTCGAAAAAGGCGAAAATTAAACAGCAGTGACTATTTCCCAGTAGTCAGTTTAGATGGTTTAACATTGACAAACACTGACAAGGACAACAAATCGAACAAATCTCGCATCCCGAAAAAAATATGATCAGATGAAAACAAGCTCCAATATCATTATTACACTGATATATCTATTGCTTTTTTCCGTAATATGTCATAAGTAGATAGTGACGTCAATACTAAACTAGGCATCATAGGTGACAACCTCTGAAACCCCCAATGAGGGAGATCTCACTCATTCCACATTTCTAATGAAAGAGAAAGTGTGCGTGAAACGCGACTGCTATTGCTTGGCTCAATTTATCTGTCTCTTTTTATGTATAAAATTAACTCCAAAAAAGCATTCCTTTGATTCAGACACACCTGTTATGATCATTACACACACCCAGCAGTAACTACGAGATCATTTGACTACAGGATGTAGATTTTCAGTTCGTTTGAGTTTGGACTTGAATGAGGGAGTTTCGAGGGAGATTGGTAAATTTTGGTCAAAATGAGGGAGTCTCGCTCCAAATGAGGGAGAGTTGACAGCTATGAAGCATATCAATATGTTGGAAAATTGTCCAAAGAAGGGCAAGGAAACGAATTCCGTGATTTAGAGATACGTCATATCCGGATCGGCTTAAAAGACTAAATTTACCTACATTGAGCTTCAGACGTGCAAGAGGTGACGTCATACCTTTGGTCGAAAAGCGTCGAATTTCCTGAAATTGTGGCAGGTCTTTTCCGAAGGACATGGTACCAGGAGTCATTCAAAACATAAATTTATCCAAAACATTCAACATAGGAATAAAGAAGACCTTTTTCTCTACGAGAAGTAAAATTATGAAACAGTCTTCCAGAGGATGTGATATCAGCACCATCAATAAATACATTTAAAAACAGACTCGATAAACTTTGGATTGATACGGAACTGAAATTTAATTACAGACCTAACATACTTTGTCTAACATGTGATGTCCATAACCGAACTGTTATATAAGGGTACAGAAATCCGATGAAGAGGATCATGGGGGGGAGGGGGGAGGGGGGGATGCGGTGGCCAAGTCGTTAAGGCGTCTGACATTCTCCTACCACTAGCCCTCCACCACTGGGTCGCGGGTTCGAGACCTCCGTTGTGCAGTCGCCAGGTACTGACCGCGGGTCGGTGGTTTTTCTCCTGGAACTCCGGCTTTCCTCCACCACCAAAACCTGACACATCCTTAATAATATAAATGACTATAGCTACTAATAGGACGTAAAACACAATCAAACCAAAAAAGAGGATCATACAGAGACTGTTTTGGAAAATAAACTTAACTAAACTTATAACTAAATATATAATATGCACGTATAAAACCATTATACTATCATGACATTTGTGTATCAGTTTAGAATTGCAGGATACTGGTTGTTCAAAAATTGATAACTAAAACACACAACACACAAAAATATATGTCGATCTCAGGACCATTTCACTGTTGATACTATACTGTACGAATTTTACAAGGAATAATAAATGCACAAAATAAATATTTGTCATGGGAGGTAAATCTAGACTAGAAAGAAACTGATCAATGTTGCTTTACTTTCTGATAAGGAATAAAACACCGAGGCGGAAAAGAACCGCCCTAAAGCGGAAATTTCACTAATATGACTAGCACAACAGTAACCTTGAACTTAAGTCCTCAAATCATATTAAAATGACGTTTGCACTCTTGGTAATGTATGGATCAATTGGTCTGCACCAGAAGGGCGTTCAGCACGTTGCGTTAAATCCCAATAACTTCCTTGTTTGTTGAGGAAGTGGTATTGTTTGTATTTCAATTTAACTCGCAGTTACAAAGAACACATAACATTTAAACACGNGGTCAAGGGGGGGGGAGGGGGTGTATCTTTACTTTTATTTTAATATTTCCTCAGGTAATGGTCTTGATTTTGTATCAACTTCCAGTGCGGTTGTACGTTCCTTTAATATATATTTGAAACATATTATATTTACACATATAAATATGATATAAAATATTATATTATATATATCAAAATATAATATTTGTCCACAGATCTACCTGGAGTCGCGACGTGTCATAAATACCGATGTATTCTCTTGAAGGGTCCCCGTACCAAACTTTACGAATTCATTGAAAAATTCTGACCGACAAAAAAAATCATATCTAAAAAGAAACTCATACCTTTTTTCGGAATTTTATGAGAAAATGATTAAAATGAAAACAAGAAAACACAGCATTCAGTCCACAGAGGGAATCGAACTATTGTAACAAAATGGGCTGTAAATTGATAATTAAAAATAAAGAATGGAATAATCTTATAACATATCAATAAGGAGCAGTGCTTTAGTCAAAAGTACATTTGGGGTCAAATCTAACGATTTCGGTAACACCGTGTAGTGACTGACAAGGTGCTGTTGAATTGTAGATATGTGCTATCGGATTATCGATCTAGTGGCGACCAGGCGCGTCATGGATGACATAGAGATAGGAACGAGAGTGTTAACTCCCCAAAACATAAATTGCCTGATGGGACATTTAGTATTGTTTTGCAAGGGGAAAGTTAACATAGGAGTTAGATAAGAAGTTAGATTAAATTGCTGCACGTGCCTCATTACTTATGTACAATAGGTGGTACATGTACCTACTCACGAAAAGTTCATTTTGTATAGATTGATAAAAGTATTTGGGAAAGATTTAAGAAGGATTTTTAAGTTTGGATATAGTGTTTGATGTTGTAACTCTGTATAAATGTAATCGTTGTGAAGGTAGATTTGCTGTCGTGTTCCAGAACTGTGTTAAGAAGGATATTTGTTAAAGTGAAGAGATCTTACAATGAGGGCCTACTCGAGGTATGAACCCTGACTGTCGCGGCCACAGTACGAGGTGAATACAATGTTAAGTCCACATGTGTTGTTCAGCGTGTTATATCACACCCTGAACCCTGGGTTACACTACGTTGCTCTAGCTTATATTACTAAACTACTTCATTGGCGGTAGTTTCCTGGTCCATCCCTTCTATGTACAGCTGAAATGTATGTTTTCTATGGTGGGTCTTCGTACAGACAGTAATCTCCCCTTTATTACGTTTTGCATGTTCTGTGTTCCTGTAAAATATACTTCAAATTTACTTTTCCGAGTTTAAATAATTGCAAAATAAATTTGACATAAGCTACACAACATAAAAAATAGTGTTGTTCACTGCGTATTTTCTAAATATACCCGTATATCGATATAGTATCCCTGGTACTATATTATCCTGGCAACCACGGCGACCGTAGTTACCATCGTGGCAACAAGCTTTGGCTTTTTTTCTGTGTAATGTAGCATTTAAACATGTTTTGAATGTAAATATAAGGATTGACCTTCGTTTTGACGGCGTATACGAAAGTATGAACGCAGTTGGCTGCGCACTCGTGAAAAATACCAAAACATTAGCCACACTCGTGAAATATATTTGTAATTACTGAAGACACCATTAAATATCCTGTATATATTTCATATGGTTGTTGTTTTCAAGTATTGATTATAATCAGTTGATTATTATAATGTAAGATGGACGTAAAACACACAGAGAGGACTGCACCTTTAATATAAACTTTATTTCATTCCAAATTAAGTTGCATTACATCACATAACATACAAAGTACAGAGGAATGGGATCCGGAAACAAGTTGAAATAACTTATATAAATCCGTTTCCGCACCTTTAAAATATGGTAATTGATTCAGTATATTAAATTGCCGAAACTACTGTTGAAACAGAAGGGGGGGGGGGGGGGGGGGGGGGCGTAACACCCCTTACTGTATGAATTTAAAAAATAATAGAGGAGTAGTGCTTCTGGTTAGATTCAAATCAGATTATTAGTAAGGAATGTATATTACCATGAATGTACCACGCTACCTCTTGCTATGCTCTACGACATGTTGTTATACTTTCAGGTAACTGCTTAACAATGGATGTTTCAACACAGGATGTGGTGTCGACATCATTTGAGAAGTTCGTGGACCAAACTATGACGTCAATGATCGGTCTGACCAATCAAACCACTCTTTCCTCCTACATTATTGAGAATTCATCTGAAATTAACCTATTCCTTTTGAATTCACAAATGGCACGGAAATTGCTGCCTGTCACCATCTTTGTTTACATTTTAATGTTTTTTGGCCTTATTGGAAATTCTGTCGTAGTGTATGTGTATCTATTTCGATGGAAATCAACGACAATTAAGTATTTCATTGGTTACCTAGCAACACTTGACCTCGTCACTTCCGGTTTGTGCATGCCGCTGGAGATTGTTTTGTACACCAATCCAGTCACGGCAAACAGTAGCGCCCTCTGTCGCGTTCTACGTTTCTCACGTGCCGTGACGTCCATCGCTGAAGCTTTTTTGCTTGTTGTGATAGCAGTTGATAGGTATTTACGTGTGTGTAAGTACACACAGACACAGATTTCCGTCAAAAAGGCAAAACAACTATGTATTTTGTCTTTCACTTTTTCTCTGTGTCTTTCCTGGCCGTCACTGTTTGTATTTGGAAGCTATGACCGTGGAACTTATCCGGTTCTTCAAACGTCTTGTTCGACAGTTCAGCACCTACGGGGAACAGTATATCCGCTACTATACTATGCTATGTTATTTCTTGTGTTTATCATAGTGTCCGTGTGTTTGTTCGTGTTTTATATTCTAGTCGGCATCAAACTCTGCCGTCTTTCATCAAAACAGAAATTGTCCATCTCTAAAGGAACGTCCGAGAAATTTAAACCAACCAAGTCCGGTTATTTCCCCCCCGACATGCTGAAAGATGATTCTCGCTCAGGCACTCTGAAGAAAAATGAAGGTCGAAGAACAATAGATCGGAACAACCGAAATGCAGCAAAAAGAAAATCATCATTTGTGGATTTATCCCAAGTTTCCATTAATTTGAAGTCTGTGCGAAGAAGATCAACGCGAATGATGAGAAAACAGAAAACCTCATTAACTTTATTTTTGATTACAGCTCTCGAATTTATAAGTTTTCTACCCTATATTGTTATAATGATTTATAAGGCCGTTGAACCACATTTTCTAGAAACTTTATCAGAATCTCAACAAATCTTGTACAACATTGGTTTGTTGTCCTATTTTCTCGCAACTGCATTTAATCCATTTATTTACGGATTTTTCAGCAGAAATTTCAGACGAAAATGTGTGGAAATCTTGAGATCCGTCAAAAATGGCAGGAACGATAACAACACTTATAGTTCCGGTACTGACAAGAAGGTATCTACGTCTAAATAAGGGCAGCTGACCGCTGACCAATGGTCAGTTTATGCACCGTTTTACTGGTATCAACATTGGTATACAATTATCATAAGGATAATGATGTGATAAAATATTTCTGTAATTAATTGTGAAAATTACCTGTTTATTCTTGCCTTTTACCAAGGCGGTCGGGGTTCGATTCCCCGATCGGACGTGAAAAGTTAATGGGTCACATACCCGACCACGGGGGTTTTCTCCGGGTTCTCCGGTTTTCTCCCACAATAAGACCTCCTACGCGCTAACATCCGGGCCAACAAGAGTGATTGATACAAGTTGAAATAACTTGTTTCATAATTGTTGTAAAACAAAATTTATATTCATATTTGTATGATAAAATATCGCTGTGATTTATTGTGAAAACAACCTGCTTATTCTTGAAAACCTTTAATCATACTATTCATTATCAAGTTTAAACTACGAATTGGTCTTATCTATAAATCAAGTGTTAATTTTTACGGCAAGTTTAAAAGATGTTTCGTCGGAATTTGATTATATGATATAACGTTACTTTTAATTTTAATTTCAGCGTTAATATCTTTTTTCCTTGTGACATTTAAGATTAGACTCTCTTGTGTGACGCGTAATTACCCTAAAAACCACTGAAGATGGCCGATGTATTTACTTTCTTAGAATAACTCATTTACCATTTCCTATTCCATTACATAACAGGATTATTGCGGTACCCTACCTAGTGGACTTTGGCCGCAGGTCATAGATGCTTTCAAGTTCAAATATATCTTATTTGACCCTGAATAGTCAAAGGGATTGGGCATAAGTTCTTGCAACTTACTTGGCCGTTGTGTCTGTATTTTTAAAGTCGGGACACATGTCGCTTAAATCCCAGATAATTAACTTGTATTGTACATTTTAAACTATGATATGAATTTCTTATAAACATGTTAGCTATATAGGTTCTCAACTATGTAAGGTATTTTTTGGAAATTTCAGAATATCCCGCCATTAAGTCAGAATTTATCTTTAATTTAATTTCAACTTAAACCCTTTTTACCAAATCTAACGTCATCATTCCAATTTCAATTATGCAAGCAGAATACTGGAATATTTTTTTACGTGAAAACTTATTTAAGACTGCGTTCGTATTAAAATGGGGACATTTGTGTCTAAATTTCAATATTTTCTATATGTGTTGATATGCATAGTAAAGGTTGCTAGGCAACGCTCTTATATTTCTTGTCAAGTATTTGTGTATTGAAAAGGTCATATAAACCTTAATACATATGTCCTTTTAATTTTAAGCGATACATTTTCCTTATCCTTATCACAGGTATTACATCACATTCATCATTTTCCTACAAACCAAACTGGTCTTATTCCTATTTTAAATCTTCGTTCCGCTTGTGCCGAAGAAGTTATTCCAAAGTTTATATCAACCACGTTAGCTATCAATATCAAATATCGTTCGTTTCGTCCGTTCATATTGCATCCCAATCGTGTGGTATTTTTATCGTGCACACAAGGTGCGGTTCATACATCGTGCGCACACCGCACATCGTGTAACGTTGAACGAATCCGCACTGTATAGCACCTACCTTTACATTTGTACATGTAACCGAGGCTTTTTTGGGCTCCAGCCAACGTCAGTCACACACCCATTATCTTTTAAATATTTACTAATTTTGAGGAAGATAACTCATTAAAACTAATGACGTATTAAACATTTCAAACTTCAAAATATTGTTTTTTTGTTGTGTTTTTTTTGTTGTTTTTTTGTTTGTTTTTGTTTTTGTCTTTGAGAACATTTCTAATGGTGTTTTATTTTTGTGCTTCTCTTAAAATAGTGCACTTTTTTAACCTGTAATTATTTACGCACTACTTTGGTATTCCAAATGACAAAAAGATGGTTCAATACATACATTGTTTGGGAACAAGGGAAACACAGAAACAAACGTTCACGTATCATCATCTGCCTAACAAACTGAGAGATAAAAACCAGGTGATTATAAAGGATATAAGAATCTAAATTAGAAAATAACAAGGTAACTTGAAACACGAACACGAAAGGGGAGACAGCATGGGCATCCAATGAAAACAGAATCGAGCGAGACGAAAAATTGTTTGTTACACGATGTGTGACGTACACCATGAAGTCCTCTGTCAAATCAAGTAAACCATCCAGGGTTCCATCCGCGATACTCCAGGGGTAACGCCCACTTTCGCTCCCTCAACCCCTGGAATATGTCATAGCAGAATTGAAGGCACGCGGCTTGCTATTTGATGAGTTTGATGTAATATTACCTGACCAATCGCTAGCAAGGCTGAAACATTTTCTTTGGAGATTACTGAGGCGCGTCATCCGACTCGAAGCCGGCCAATTGTTCCGTTTCGCGACCGACAGACTCTTGTGATGTATACCAAAGGATTAAACTAGTCTTCTCGTATCATCTACAAGGTGATACATACGGAACCTTCGATTTTGCTATGACATATTCCATGAATACAGAGAGCAAAACTGAGCGTAAACCCTGGAGTATCGAGGATACTTATGCAATTATCTAAGATGGCGTAGCATTTCTCCAGTGTAGATTGAAACTTCACCAATAGAAAACCCTGTATACCTGACACAGCTGTTTAACTTAAGTAGTAGCGTGAGTTGACATATGGCACAGTACAGAGCACACTCACCATGTACATGGATCATTAATCACATCTCACGAAACAGGGTCAAAACGTTTACAACACAATATGTGACATGTGTTATAAAGTCTTCTTTCAAACTTACAAAATCACACAGGGAACCAATGACCTAAGACTGTTTCACATTTCATCAGTGTAGAATGAGACTTCACTGATAGAAAACCCTGTATATCCGGAGGTTAGCGTACAGGGCCCGGAGTACCCGGAGAAAATCCATGTGGTCGGGCAGGTGACCGTTTACCTTTTCACTTCCGATTGGGTAAATGAACCCCGCCCGCCTTGTTAAAGGCAAGTGCGTTATCCGTTGCGCCACCGACCACCGACAAGTGCCCATGTGCTACATTGTACCAAATTGTCTTTCGTTAGTAACAGAAATCACCCATTTTAAAAAAAGGAGCAGGAAAATGAATAAAGTGGCGTGACTGTTTAAGAATCCCAGATTTCAGAATTTCAGATTTTATTTCCAACACTCAGACACATGAAAATGTGTAACATGAGGTACATGTACATGAATTCATATATTAAATTATGACAGGATGGACAGGTGCATGCATGTATATGAAGATACTGATGATATATATATATATGCATGATAACATGTTATATAAATTAACTATTTCGTAATTAGACACAGCAATGCATACATATATGTAGATAGCCACACATATATCCAGACCTTTGCATATACATATATATGCACATCCATACATATACAATGCATACCAAGAAACAGACGCCTACATATATACGCGCATACACACATAAATACACAAATATATGACTACATCCCAGATACATATACACACAAACACACATATGCATACATTTCCGTATCCAAAATACTCACATAGTCACCTATTTTACATCATGATTTCAATTTCAATTTCAAAAGTATTTTATTGACAATACATATATAATACAAACATATAAGTTAACATTACAGAATATATTAGAACAGTATTGACAAAAAAAATAGACAACAGGCTATGCCTATATCAGTCTTCTTCTATTTCCGGTAGCTATGTACAATGCTTAAATATATAAAATGTGGTAATTCGTTTTCCTCTCACACACATGCACACCCACACCAGCTCATGTCTAATACTCATTATTTAAGGGACAAAACTTGCCTGAATAATATTAATAATAATAATACCAATACATGAATTTTAATTTGGAATTTATCTAGCACGTATATAAGTAACGAAACGTTTTGATGATTTAATATAAAAGTCAACATGTATAAGAATAGTTTTATTTAATTGGTCAGATGCATTACTAATACCATATAATAAACAGTGCAGATTTAAATATCCTAATAGATTATACATAGTGGTAATATGATGCCTAATATTTGAATACATAGGACATAGAAAGAAAAAATTATTAGATCTTCCCTCTGTGCACCACATACACAGGAAGCATCATCAATCAGATGATGTTGTAACTTATCAAAGTTAAGATCACTTTTAACATTTCTTAGCTGATATGTTAAGTTTCCTCGGAACACAGTTAATAAAAGTTTCTAAGACAGATGTATTTAAAGTTTTTTTAAATATCTTTTTAAAAGATGAAATTGAGATAGAGTCTCGTACGATGCCATCAAGTGCATTCCGTTTTACCATTGTAGAAGGGAAGAAGCTATTCATATAAGTAGTAGTTCTTGTCTGTGGTATATTAAAGAATCTGTTATTTCTGAAGGTATAGTTATTATTAACATTTAGAAATGGTTGAATGATATTATCGAGACAAGTTGGAGTGTAATTATTAAGAATCTTATACATTAATGTTAGTTCATGATTTTGTCTTCGTGTGTGTAATGTCTCAAGTTGTGTTTCAGTATACAGAATGTGATGAGATGTACCTCGTCTGAGGCCAGTAATTAAACGCATAGCTTTTAGTTGAGCTGATTCTAAAAGATCTGATTCAGATTTGGTACAATTATCCCATACTATATCAAAATGTTCTAACAAAGGTCTTATATAAGAGACATATAATGTTTTTAATATATTCCTATCAACTGTAGTATTTAAAATTCTAAGAATACTTAGTCTAGAGTTAGCTTTTTTATAAATATTTGAAATGTGATCTGACCATGTCCCTTTACTGTTAAATGTTAGTCCTAAGTGAGTATGGTGTTCATGTTGTGCAATCGGAGTATTGTTAAATAGCAGTTGAAGATGATTGTTAATGTGTCTACAAGAGAAGTTAATAGCTACAGTCTTATTCGGATCGAATAGGATCTGCCATTGCTTTGACCATTCAGAGATTGATTCGAGATCATCATTGAGCATGTTAGGATGTAGGTGTTGTAAGGTCATTGTTATTATTTACTATAACATAGAGAGAGGTATCATCTGCAAAAAGTTTTATATCATTAATAAAAAGAAGAAAGAGGAAGGGACCAAGGACAGATCCTTGAGGAACCCCTGTAGAAAAAGGTTTGGTACTAGATTTATAACCTTCAAAGATAACCCTTTGTTTTCTGTCAGATAAGTAAGCTTTAAACCAATCATATAATTTACATTTAATACCATATGCTTTTTGTTTATATAATAGGCCCAAATGCCATACTCGATCAAATGCTTTACTTATGTCACAGAAAACAAAACGCAAATCTTTACCTTAATCTAAATTACTACTTATAGTATCATATATATCAGCTAGTTGATTAGCAGTGGAGTCTTTGGGTTGAAATCCTGACTGATGTACACTTAACATATTGTGACTTGAAATATAATTAAACGTATATTTAAAAAAATTGATAAAAATAGATGTAATAGCAATAGGTCTATAATTATTGAGATCACTGATATCTCCTTTACTTTTATAGAGAGCAGTAACATTAGCCATTTTTAGTACATCAGGTATTTCTCCAATAGATAAAGTTCTATTAAATAATAGTTTGAGTGGGTATACTAAAGAAGAAGAAATGTTCTTTACAATCATCGGTAAAATACCATCAGGACCAGCTGGTTTGTTTTTATTAAGAATGTCAAATTGGTCAGTTACATCTTGTTCAGTTATGTCAGGGATGTGTAGTGGACCACTACACATCCCTGGTTATGTTAATATTAGAAAGTTCAAATGGACATAAGGGAGGTAAGTCAGGTAGGTTAGTGTCAGTAACATCAGAGGCAATGGTGGTAAAGAAGTTATTTAGTGCTTCAGCTTTATCTTGTGGATAGATTAAAATTTTATTGTTAGATTTTAGAGGATAAGAATTAGTGCTAGTGTTAGTCATTTTTCCTATAGATTTTGCTATCTGCCACCATTTTCTTGGATGCACTGTTTTGTCAGCAAGACAATTTTGAAGTTTCTTATAGTAAATCTCCTTGGATTGCCGAATATGTTTTATAGTGTCATTACAACAAGTTCTGAATTTTGCCCAATCTTGTCCCCTATTTTTATTTTTAGCTATTCTATGTAATCTATTCTTATATCTTAATTTATGCCGAATTTCACCAGTCATCCAAGGTTTGTCATCAGGATGTGGGAGCTAGTGGCAGAGTTTATTTTGTTTATAACAGTAGAATATATTTCATTAATGCTAGTAGTGTCATTAACTATGGAATCCCAATCATTACTAAGTAGTTCATTATTAATAGCATCCCAATTAGCTTCATTGAATTCATATATAGGTTTCTTGAATGGTTTATTGTTTAGTGTTTTAAAACAAATGTTAGCAAGAATGGGGCAGTGATCACTACAGAGAGGGGAAAGTACTTGTGTTGAGTTAAAAATGTTAACATTATTAGTAATAAATACATCAAGTAAGGTAGCAGTAGTGTTTGTAATGCGTGTTGGTGATTTTATTAAGTTTTTAAAGTGATATTTAGTAATTAATCTTGCAAGATGTGAATTAGGTTTCATTGTGATAAAGTCAATATTTATGTCACCAGTGATAATGATATTATATTAGTATTAGAAAGATTATCCAAAATGTTATCAAGTTTATTCCAGTTATCTTTTTTTTTTTGTATTAGGAGGTCTATAAAGGCAGCAGAATTGATTTGTACATATCAATGATATGGACCCATAATGTGCTTCAATATTATGGACCTATAGAAGCAACAAGTAATAGTGTATATATAATGTTTATGTTTTAGCTTAAAGCAAAGGAATCAATTTCTTTAGGAAAATTGATAATCCTTTCAGAATTTGTTCGCGGCATATTAACAAAAGACCTTTCATTTTATTTTCATTTGGATTTGTACGATAGTAATTTGGAACGTATTTTCTCTTTAAATTTTTCACTTCCACATTACCAAATGTACAAAAAATAGCAAAGTGGGACATTTTTTTTACATTCCGTTTTGATACAACTGTTGCGCAATTAGGCAAATCTGATTTCATTGACTAGGTAGTACATGAAGGTCAGTCGGTTAGAGTGACACTTTATATAGTAGCCTCTAGTTCAGGGTTCGAACCCTAAAGTCCAGCTATAATCATGCTGGAAAAACAGTTTCCAATGCGTAGTAAGTTTTTGGCAGTAGTGCGGGGATCCTTAATCACATTTTAAAATATCTATTGTATAAGTACGTGTACAGTACGGCTCATTCACCGAACACCAACTCTGGATAATTGAAAGGAATGTGTTTATATAGGAAATCCTTTGAAGTTTAGTTATAGCCTGTTTCAACTAAGAATGTCAACTCATTTTGTAGATATGATACTAAAGTCAATAATGAAATGGATAAAAAAAAAATCCTACATATAACTGTAATACACATTTAACACAGAACTAAGTAATAGAAAGTAATCATTTAATATTAATTTTTACATTATATGAAAAAGAAAAATAACATAACATTATATGAAAAACAAAATTCTTTACTTGAAGCCACATTGATACTAATGTCAGCAATAAAATACAGTTTCTATTCCTACATATAACAGTAATACACATTTAATACAGCACTAAAAGATAGCCATTATTAAACATAAATATAAACAGTAAACCTTTCTGGAGCTAAAGTTGATGAAGAATTTTGCATGAATCATGATGATTTTAGTTGGAATGGATTTTTGGAATTCAGAAGTTTTGCCAAAAAGTATAATATCTTCCTTTATTTCGATGTTGGGTCTGTTTTTAAGTATATCCATCTACGTATGTTTTGCCAGAAGTTATTTGTTATTTGACACTGTTAAAAAAAGATGTTCTATAGTTTGTTTGCTTTCTTGGCATAAGTTACATAAATCTCATTGTTTGATTCCAATTATTTTCAAATAATGATCAAGTGGAAGTATTCTCGAAAGAAGCCTGAAAGTGACCCATTGAATGCTAGTTTTAAGTCCATATATAAAGTTTTCTAAATCAATCATTTTGAGTCCACCTTCACTGTAGTCTTGAACAATTGTTGAGCGTTTTATTTTATCCATTGGTGATTGCCAGACATTTTTTTTTGTTCAATGATTGAATTATGTCTTGAGTAGGGAGAGATATAAACAGGTGATTCATTTTTGCAATGATAAGAGATTTAAGAACAGTTATTCTCCTTATAGGTGTTAAAATTCTTCTTGACCATTGATGTAACTTGCCATCTATAATACTAATAATTTCGTTGAAATTTACAGTAACCATATCTTCTAAATTGACAGAGAAATCAATCCCAAGTAAGGTAAATTTGGTTTTTCCCCATTTTAGTTTGTTCAGTATTTACTTTTAACCCTGATATTTTTGCATATTTATATCATATAAAGATTTTGTGCCATTTAAAATAACGGATGTGTCATCAGCGAACTGTGAGAGCCCGTGTTCTTTGTTATTTATGTTTATGCTTAAAGATTTTATTGTGTTTTTTTTGCCATGATAGCTAATATTTCAACTACCAAAAGAAATAAGTAAGATGATACCGGATCCCCTTGTATACAGACCCTTTTTATGTCTACAAAGTTGGGTTAAAAAAAACATTCTGTATGATAGCCGAGGAAGTATTTGTATTAAAACATAACAGATAATAATATCAAACTGAAGTCACACAAGTTAAACACAATTCATAGAAATCGGAAAATAAGTACAAGTTTAACTAATATCACGGACTTATATATATGACAATAATTATAAGAGAATTCACACAAATCTGAAAATGCAAGTTTAACTAATATATCATAATAAATATATGACTGATTCTGAAAACTGTTCTCAATATTAATTATTATTTTGCAATTATTAGCAATTTGATTATCTGATTAGAAGTTGATTTACCTGTGCAATTTACCTGTACACCATTTCTGCAATAGACTATAGCTCACTATCATCACAACTGGCCACCTATGTGATTTTAAGCAGAGTTGGTGTTCGGGGAAGACCCCCTTGTGGACACTAACCACGGGTAATTGATCTAACAATTAGCGACACCTGTCACTTAAACCCCAGGTACCTTTTTTTTTTTCAAGTTTCAAGTTTCAAGTTGTTGTTTTTCCGAATGCAAATCAGCATATAGGTTAATTGATACATAGAATACAAAACATATTGTACGTACATATAACTAACTATGATATGTTGTATTGTAAATCAGTTAGTACGGAAAACATCAGGTATATTTTGGAAACACCAGAATATCCCGCCGTCAAGTCAAAAGTTATCTCTTATTAAATTTCAAAGTTAAACTTGTATCAACTCTTACGTCATCATTTAAACAAGACAAAACGTGCAGAAATACCTTATGTTGCATGTATACTGTGTAGTGTATAACGGGAAATGCTCGCCCCTCGCCAGAATAATCAATTTTCGCTTAATGTTGATATCGCTCTTCACATTCAACTTCTATACATATTATGTTGTTTATTCATGTTCGCTGTAATGCTAAATTCGCCTTCATTATGGTGGACTGAAAAGGCGAAACTTAAACTGCAGCGAATATTTCCCTGTATACAGTGATTTCACGGAGTCAAAAGCATATTCAATAATAACTGAAAGCACTAAACCTATATATACCTATATAAGCTATACAAATTCACAGTTGTTTGTAATATACTAGTTGATACAAATTACAAATATAATAACCAGATTCTTAGGTAATATGTCTGTTTTATATTCAAATAAAATATCGTTCATTATATTTAAGAAATGATAGAAAAAATAACATGTACTTTTGTGGTATACAATACATGTATAGAGGCAATGAGGGTGAGAAATATTTAATACATTGCCTAAATAATACCTCGACCAAGGAATGAAGTATGTTATTTTGTCAAAATTCCTTCACCGGTTCCAGGCTAGTACACACATGCAGGCTTAATAAGCTTGTGCTGGACAGTTGACCGAGGCCGTGCTGCGACATAAGGTCACTTCGGCCACTTGACTTTTAGGCGAGTGGACGTGGAGTGGAGTTAATCTTTCGGTGCTGGACGAAGAACAGTGAAGTTTCAGAAAGTACGGAGATACTAAAGGTAGGAACTTACGACCTGCCAACAGTTAGGCAGATGAGCTACATGTGACGACTTATTTTGGCACACACACATATTACAAAGGAATTACATTTAACATGTGTATCAATCATCGCGTTATCATTATGTGATTTAAAAGCCGAGTACTCAATGTATGTGACACGAATGACGCTCAGTTGTAAATATGTAATGTCCGACTTAGATAACCTAATCTAATCTAATTCCGTGGTAATGTGTTGTTCTTTGTATAACGTAATATACCTTATCGTGAATAAAGCCCATAGGCCTGTTTACCGGTAAATGTCTGGTCTCTTACACAAAGTTGTGGACTGTGTGAATGTGACCTTGGTTTTTATCTGTGCGGTGCTTGGCAAGCGTATTACGTGTATGTGTCATAGTGTCTTTGTGACGTAGCCAATTACTGTCATCTTAGTGTCTTTATGACGTGATACATTATACTGACATCTAAGTGTTTTTGTGACGTGATACATAACCAGGGGCGGGTCCAGGTGAGGGCGTAATGGGCGAACCCCCCCCCCCCCCCCCCCCTTTCAAAAAAACCTATATGTATGATACCGGGTATGTTCCGACAAACGGTGTTGCATTTTCAGCTAAATTGTCTGAAATGGGGGTTATGTTTTTTTAGCCTTGCCTTGGAAGGGGTCAGATTTGACTATCTAGAACGGGGTATTATAAATACAAGTCTAAATTGAAAACAACGTTCAAACCTCCCGTTCATAACATCCTGGCCTAGGACTATTGAAATGTTAAGTAACGCCTTATACCCTAGAATTTGGAATTTCTCGTTAATACCATAGACAATTAATGGAGACATATTAGTGTCTNTCCAATCATTTTAATATACCATAGACAATTAATGGAGAGAATTCGGCATTAAAAATGTCAAACCCTGACACTTTAACTATAAAATATACATGCTCCAAGCCAGGAACCGTTACATTAGTGCATTTCACAATTATTTTATGGTTTTTTAGCAAAAAAAAAGGTCCAAAAAAAATCAAATATCCTAGAAACGCCCCTGAACGTAGAGAGCGCGAGCTGTTCACCCTACATACGCATCATCGCCATTTTAGAGAGGGATATTAAATCATGCACCTGTATCAGCATCTACGGCTTACCTTCGGGTTTTGTAGGATGAACTGAAACACAACCAAACTAACCAAAGATTGACTTCAAAAGTACATGTACGTATAGTGAANCTTTGTGACGTTATACATTACTGACATCTTAGTGTCTTTATGACATGATACATTACTGACATCTTAGTGTCTTTATGACGTGATACATTACTGATATCTAAGTGTGTTTTTGACGTGATACATTATTGACATCTTTGTGTCTTTGCGATGTTATACATTACTGATATCTTGGTTTCTTCGTGACGTGATACATTACCTACATCTTAGTGTTTTTGTGACGTTATACATTACTGACATCTTAGTGTCTTTGTGACATGATACATTACTGACATCTTAGTGTCTTTATGACGTGATACATTACTGATATCTTAGTGTCTTTGTGACGTGATACATTACTGACATCTTAGTGTGCAAATGACTTGATACATTACTGATATCTTAGTGTCTTTGTGACGTGATACATTACTGACATCTTAGTGTCTTTGTGACGTGACATCTTAGTGTCTTTGTGACGTTATACATTACTGATATCTTAGTCTCTTTATGATGTGATACATAACTGATATCTAAGTGTGCTAATGACTTGATACATTACTGATATCTTAGTGTCTTTGTGACGTGATACATTACTGACATCTTAGTGTCTTTGTGACATGATACATTACTGACATCTTAGTGTCTTTATGACATGATACATTACTAACATCTTAGTGTCTTTATGACGTGATACATTACTGATATCTAAGTGTGTTTTTGACGTGATACATTATTGACATCTTAGTGTCTTTGTGACGTTATACATTACTGACATCTTAGTGTCTTTGTGACCTAACCAATTACTGACATCTTAGTGTCTTTGTGACATGATACATTACTGACATCTTAGTGTGCTTATGACGTGATACATTACTGATATCTTAGTGTCTTTGTGACGTGATACATTA